CTTTAACCCGCTGCGCCACCAGGGAGGGCCAGGAGCTCCATATTTAATGAGAAAAATAATGAATGCTTTCCCTCTAGGATGGGGAAAAGTGTCAGGATGGAAAATTCACTGTTGACATTAAGGTTTGTACAGAAAGATCTATCCAGATAAATAGAAAGGAAAAGGAAATAAAAGGGATTCAAGTTAGAAAGAAAATTAAAAAAACTCTATTCATAAACGACATGATTCTATATGTAAAAAATAAGAAAAAACCATGGGAAAAGCTAATGAAGTAGTTCACAAAATATGCTGACTATAAATCATCAAACAAGTAACAGTTATTTCTGTATACTTGCCACGAATAATTTTAAAGTAATGGTATTTATGATAACATATAAAAATTAACCAAAATTGAATACATGTGATCAAGGAGGTGAAAGAATTGCATACTGTAAAATATAAAATATTGCTGAAAGTATTGAGGAAGTAAATATATCCAGCATTCATATTTAAGAAAACTTAGTACTGTTAAGATGACAATATTACCTAGAGCAATATACAGATTCAAAGTTTATTACTAAAAATTCAAGCTTATTTTTCTCAAATAGAAAAACTGGGCTTCAACTTCATATTTAATCAAAAGAGGCCCTGAATAACAAAAATTCTCTTGCAACTGAATGATAAAGTTGGAGGACTCATACTTACAAATTTCTAAATTTCAATAATCAAATTGTGTATTGACACACATAATTATGCTCAAACAGGATCATACAATCTATACACATACACATATACTTGGGCCCTCCGTGGTGGTGCAGCACATCAAAGGACAGCACTATGTAGCTAGCGCAGCTTCTGCAGCACAAGTTTGATCCCTGGCCAGGGAGGTGACCCACAGTCATGGCAGACATCTCCTGTCTCACCTGCTGCTCCCCTCAGCAGTCTATTTCAGTCCATCTGTCTGTTCTGCTCCCCACCCTGTCTCTAGTGAATCCTCTCACCTCCTACACCTCTGGCCTTTCTCCCAGTTCAGTATGCATAAATAAATAAATCTTTATAATATGTATATATACTCATATATGTCATATACATATACGTATATAGTAATATAGAGAATAGCAAAATTAATAGGCAAAGAAAATTGATCTGAGGTTATGAGGAATTGAAAGATGAGGTCAGTGGGGAAAGGTTACTTTATAGTTACAGTTCCTATTTGGAGGTGATGAAAAGTTCAGGAAATAGTGGTATGTTTGTACAACAATGTGAATGAATATAATTAATGCCAGTGAATTACACACTTAATAATAGAATGGATACATATAACAATAAAGCTTTTTATCAATGATGATTGCTTTGAATTTAAAAATACTTAACTTGAGTTTATTGGTTTAAAAAAACTACCATTTTTAGTTTTACCTTTTATTCCTATAATCTTTCATCTGCTATATTGGGAAGATAAATATGAGAGGATACACAATGAATGACTCCTTCACACAAGTCAAGGCAGTCATTTGTACCCTGACCTTTCAAACAGAATCAATAAAGCATCTTGTGAGCTGAAAATCAGCTCAACCAGACCCTAGATGAGTCCCAAAAATCAATTCATTTTTTCTGTTTTTCCCCCTTTTTTAAGGTTCATTCAAGAAGGAGAATGGTAAGTAACTCAGAGAAAATCACTCTTTCATTTAAAAGATAAAGTCCAAGATTCAAGTTGTGCTTGACAAACATGAATCCAGCAGACAAACAGTACAGGGACTTTGTGTAGTTGGGAGTTCTCAAGCACTAATCTATTGATGTTGAAAAGAGATTAAGGTGAAAAACTAAGGAAAAACCAGCGAGTTTTTCTATGTGTTACACATATGCACTGTCCTAGCACAACTGAGGAGCAGCTCTGCCTTGTCAGCTTCAGAAATGCAGGGCAGAAACACTGTATTATTGTACTCATTAGTTATTTCTCAGGACTCAACAGAGCAGAGGATCTCAATCTTGAACATACAACAGGAATCATACGAGAAGCTATTGATACAGATAGCTGAACAACACCCCCAAATTTCTGACCAAATCCTCTGGGCTACACCTAAGTCCCAGGTACTGCAGAAGCTTGTCAGCCAGGGGGAAAACTATGAAAACAACACTTACTTGATAGTTTAGAAAAATACTCAGATCTTAGACGGCATTGTGAACACACGTTGCTCTCTTCCTGCTGCTCTACCCAGACATCATCTAGCAGAGTTAGCCTGGTAGTGGGACTCTGAGAGCTGAAGGATAATGCATATCTAGGAAATTAGAATGGAGACTACAAGCAGCACCCTATGGCAGTGGCTGAAGCGTAGGTGCTAGGTTCTATCATATACGAAGGATCCTAGGCTAGTAGGAGATTGCAGACATATTGGAAGTTAAAATGCAGTTTTAAGGGACAGCTTACAAGATAGAACATTCTTGCAGGGTGAATGAGGGCATAAAACATTAACATCATATTCTTTCCTGACATGGAAACATGGTTTGGCGAAAAATATTTATGTATTATTCTTTTTCATTCTGTCTCCTATGATTGCCAAATACATAATCAGTACTGTTGGAGATCTTATTTTTCAGATAGTTTGAGGGCTTATGTCTCAGAGCTTTCTGAATGAAAATGTGGGCTCTCAAATATCTGTCAAGAAATGATGTAGCTGCAATTTCTATTTGCCATCTAGCCACACAAATCAGGTCTTACACATCAAATAGGTATACCCACATCTATCACAGGCCATATGATCTTCACTGAGCAATGAGCTGTCAGAATTTTAAAATTAGACCTCTAACTTATTTGTGTATTTGTGTTTAAAGATGACCTCAATTAACATTATGGCAAGTCACTTTTATCTTTCCTTAATTTAAGTAATTGATCGTAAGATAAGGTGAGGTGATTTTGAATATTCACAAGTCAAACAATATTAATTTGTGTCAACATTTTATTCAGAAAAATGGAATCTTTTTATGTGCTAGACTCAGCATCAACCTACATGTCTGTGGCCTTACATTTTCTTTTGTCAAGTGCGGACCCAGGTCTGATGGGGAGCATCTGTGGGTAGGGGGGAAAAAAACACCATCTAACATAATTTTGTTTTGTTTCATTGTGTGTTTATTTCATACATACAGAAAAATTAGTGAAAGAGAAAGGTAAGTGATGTCCAACAAATATTCATTCTTATTTATCCAATTTTGTTTGTGATTTTTGCCCGTTTACCTTTCCCCAGCCTCCACCTCTGGCCTGTACCTCAGTTCTGTACATATAAATAAATAAATCTTAAAAAAAAAAGAAAGCTGAGTTTGTAGGTTCTTGGCACCAAATATAATCAAAATGTGGAGCCCCATCTGGGGTGAAATAAACAAGAAAGGAAAATAATTCTTTTCATATCTTTCCATATGAGTATTCACAAGTCAAACAATATTTTTTAATTTGTGTCAACATTTTATTCAGAAAAATGAAATCTTTTTATGTGCCAGACTTAGCATCAACCGACATGTCTGTGGCCTTACATTTTCTTTTGTAAAGTGGGGACCCAGGTCTGATGGGGAACATCTGTGGGTAGGGGGGAAGAGAAAACCATCTAACATAATTTTGTTTTGTTTCGTTGTGTGTTTATTTCATACATACAGAAAAATTACTGGAAGAGAAAGGTAAGTGATGTCCAACAAATATCCATTTACCTCTCCCCAGCAGTGTTAGTGGGACAATTGACATGGTGCAAACTTCACATGCACCATGAAGATTTGATATGTGTATATATTGCAAAATGATTATCACAATAGTATAGTTCACATTTATCATCCCACATAGTTTCATGCTTGTTATTTTACTTTTGATGAGAACTTTTATGGTCAACCCTTTAGCAACTTTCAATTTTACTAATTACCTTTTGTCATTAGGTTGTACATTGTAAATTATGTCTGTGATCTTACAGTTTCTATTGTCAGGACTCTGATGGCTCCCAGGGAGCTAGTTGCGGTTTTAGCCTGGTCCACTTGGGGAACACTGTAGGGCTGAGTAAGATGGTCTGTCCAGGGAGAGTAGATAAGGAGATAAAACAACAACAACCAAGCACAAAAGGCATGGAATAACTGCCGCTGTGGGTATGGAAGGATCAGTACTCCTTCTTTGGCCATAGGTAGTTGGGTGAGTGATGGGGCTCCTGCAGTCTCCTTCACCTGAGCACGATGGGTACTAAAAGGCCCCCGATATTGGGACCAGTCCTATTAGGCTCCCCTTGGTGTTCTTCCTGCCACAACAAAGAGGCTCACACCCTCTGCTGCATATCTGTAGGGAGACCCTGGCTTGTCCACTTTTTGTCTGAACCTCTCACATGTCTCAGGACCTTCCTGGCTCCTTGTCTTCAAGCATTTCCTCCCTTATTTCTAGATGTAGTGTGCTGGCTTTGTGGGTGGGAAGATGGACAAAGGGTCCACTGATTTTCTCTCTTCCCTTCCCCTGTCTTTCCAAATTCCCTTGGCGGCTGAGCGAATTACTGGTTTTGCCAAATTTGTCTAACAGTTCTGGGTCCTACCAGGTTCTCACTTTTATTTCTCCATATCAAATGTTTTTATGGGAGAATTTGATGGTAGCATCCTTTCACCACCATGCTGATGACATCCCCAGATCTACCTATTTTTAAATTAGGTTGATTGCTTTTTATGTTGTTGTATTTTATATGCATGAAATTAATGTCAGTGAATTATACACTTAATGATATTTAAAATGGAGATATATATATGTATATATAAAAGCTGTTTTATTTATGATGATTTCTTTGAATGTAGAAATACTTGAGTTTATTATGTTCAAGTCTACCATTTTACCTCCTATAATCTATTATTGGTACAATGGAAAAATACATATGAGTGGATACACATTTAATGACCCCATAAAACAAACCAAGGGAGTCATTTGGGACTTTTCAGACAGGATCAATAGAGCATCTTCTTGTGAGCTGGAATGCAGTTCAACCAGATCATGGATGAGTCCTACTAATCAATTCATTTTTGTCTGTTTTATTTTCCTTTTTAGACTCACTGGGGGAAAAACATAGTAAGTATGTTTAGTTTTAACCCAAAGAAAATCACCCCTCCATTTGAAAGATAAGGTCAAAGATTTAAGTTGTGCTTGACAAATGTGAATCCAGCAGATAAATCATGTCCCTGCACACTTTGTGTGCTTGAAAGTTCTCAAAAACTAACCTTGTCCATGTTGAAGGGACTAGAGTGAAAACTTAAGCAAAGGCCAGTGACCTCTTCCAATTGGTATACCTGTGCAGTGTTCTCACACATCCTTGAGGAGTGGCTGTGTCTTGTCACTTCCAGAGATCAGGGTAGAAACTGTATTACTCATTAGTTACTTCGAAGGATCCAGTAGAACAAAAGTTCTCAAACTTGGGCATGCAGCAAGAATCATGTGGAGAACTTGTTGATACACAGATTGCTGGACCACATGCCTAAATTTCAGATCAAACCCTCTCGGCCTTCTCTAGGTATAAATATTTCTAAGAAAGTCCCAAGTGATTCAGATACTGTTGAGCTGGTGGAAACACTATGAGTACTGCTACTCCAACAACACTTCCTTGATGGTTTAGGAAAATATTCAGAAGCCTAACTGAGATCCAGGTAGGAGATCAGCAGCCTCCCAGGTTGCCCAGAAGTCAGTGTCGCCTAACCTCTGTGTTACAAATTGATAAGATCTAAGATGGCTAAATCTATACCAAGGCTTCCTCGACAAGATAAGAAGCACCTCTGCAGCTTTGGTTGAAAAATCAAAAAACCTGAGATATCATATGCAGTACTGTAGAATGCTAAAATGTCAGAAATACAAGGGCACCTTTTAAATTTTCATCCTCAACCTATTTACTGCAATGCACACGGAGCTCTGTCCTGCTGCTGTCCCCAGGACATCCTCTGGCAGAGGTAGCCTGGTGACGGGACACTAAGAGCTGAATGGATAACACAGGTCTGGGAAATTAGAGTGGAGACTACTAGCAGTGCCCTACAGCAATGACTGGGGAGTAGGTGCTTGGTTCCATCATATATACAGGTGTCTAGGGCCACGAGAGATTTACAATGGTCTTCCGAGATAGAAAGCCCATCCTTGCTGGGTGAAAGGTGTGACAGCTTAACCTCATGCTCTCTCCTAACATAGAAACACAGTTTGGAGAGCCATACCCCGGACTCCTTCCCTTTCACTCTGCCTCGTCTAATGGCCTCAGATTTGTAATGAATAATGTGGGAGAGGTTCTTTTTCAGACAGTTTGTGGGTTATGTCTCAGACTTTTCTAAATGACAGAGTAAGCTCGACAAAGACTGTCAAGAATCTGGGTGAGTGTAATTTCTCTCGTTTTGTGATCTAGCTGCACAAATCTTGGCTACCACACAAGTAGGTGATTTCTCTCTCTCATCTATAATGGGCCCTGTGATACACTGAGCAATGAGCACTAGAACTTTTGGATTTGCCTTCTAACGTTTTTTTCTTTTTTTTAAAGGTGAACTCAGAGGACAACACGGTAAGTTATTCATCTCATTCATGAGTTTAAATACTTGATCACAACCTAAGGGTGAGGTGCTTTTGAAGGAGAGATTGAAGACAGAAAATGTCTGTATAGATATAGTGAAATAAATAAATCTTAGGATTTAGGATTCTGCTAATTTCCTCTTTTGTCTGATACATAGTAGTAAAACTGCTCCCTGTGTCATTTCTCATAATTCCTTAAAAAATGTAAACATATTTTAATTCCATAAAGATGAGTAACTGGTTAAAGTAACAGGTAACAGTTGTCAGTAAACCCACAAGAAAATTGGAAAGACATGTGGTACTGAATTTCAAATGCAGAGCAGGGCCTAGTCCCCCATTAAAATCTCCATCAATTGCTGCCAGTCTTTTTCTTTTTGCTTTTCAGTTTATTTTCCATGCTCATTTCCACTTCCACTGGAATTCAGAAAAGCAAGTCTTTATAAAATGCCCTTGGAGGACCTTCTGTCTCCTCTGTATTTGTGAAGCCTCCTCATATCTGGGGGATTTTTTTCAAACCCATCCAGTCCCTATCAATTTCTGGAATCCTTTCCTAGATGTTAAATCCACTTTCTAAACTTATAGTTGGTATTTACATTATCATCAGATTGTGCTCCCTTTAATGTGCTCAAGGGAACATTTCCGTTCAGCAATGCCCAGGGTTTCTTCTTGAGGAGCTGTGAGGCTCTGTTTGCCTGTATCAGGTTACACCTAACTTTTGAGACATGGTCCCTCACCAAAGTTCACTGAGCCTCTCCCTGTCCTTGTCACTGGGTGCTCAGACCCCATGGGTAATCTGGATGACATTTTCTTTCGGAATTCCAGTGCTGTGCTCTGCATAATAAGCAGAAAAACTTGTAGGGGTTGAGTCCCTAATCATTATCTCCAGATAATGGGGTTCATAGTCCTTTTACACCTCACAGAGGGCTCATCCCAAGTTTCTGACTTAATCCCTTTGGGTTTATCCTGCCTATTGACATTTATAGACTACCCAGCTGAACTGATGAAATGTGACTTCTTATCTTTCTCCTCTCCATCCCTCATTTTCACACTCTTGACTAGTTTATACTGAATAATAGCTTGAAAGATATGAGTCTACTCGTTTGAGTAGATATGAGTCTTCCAAATAAACTATGATTGTTGTAGATTTGTCTTATATTTATCTTGTATTTTTACAGAACTTTTGACTAAAAAGACAGGTGAGTAGTATTCATTTCTGTTTTATGGCAACTTATTATAGAAAAAGAATTTTTGTCAACTAAAATTTTTTAAACAATTCATTTCCATATAGAAATGATCAGTTCTTTTTCATTTATAATTATATAATTAACAAGATAATTCTAATATCTTGTCTCCTTTCCATATACATACATTCACAAATCAAACAGTATTTTTCAGTTTATGTTAATATGTTTCCTTTAGAAAATGGAGTTTCTCTATGTGCCATACACAGAATGAACCATCAAGTCTGTGGTGTTTTTATTTCTGTTGTCAGGTGATGACCTTGATTTGAGGTAGATTTTATGTGGGTAGAGAAAGAAAGATACTATGTAACAGGTTTTTATTTGGGTTTGTTTTTTGTGTGTGGGTGTATGTGTGTGTTTTGTACAAAAGAAATAGAGAAACAAAAAGATTAAATAATGTACAACAAAACCCACTCTGCTTTAAGTTTGTATTGACCTCATACTGTTTTCCCTCACACTCAGTTCTCTTTAGACAATTGATAGAAAACATTGTATAACTCTTAGGTGTACATCATACAGATACATATGTGTATATTGCAAAATGATTATCACATTAACTTTGATTAATATCCACCACATCATATTGTTCATCATATTGTTTCAAACTTACATTTTCATTTTTGCTGGAAATTTTAAGATCTCCTCTCTTAGTATCTTTTAGATTTGCTTGCTAACTACAATTACCATGTTGCACATTATATTTGTTACCGAAGGTTTCTGTTGTCAAGGGGAAACCATGATTTGAGGTGGGCTTTCTGTGGATAGGGAGAGGAAAGCACTAATATACTTTTGCTTTCTTATGTGTTTTTTATTTCCTTGCAGAAGTACTAGAGAAAGAGAATGGTAAGTGTTGTACATAATAAATGTACTCCAATTGAATTCAATATTGATCATCATTATAGTTAAGTACAGTCATCATGTTGTAATTTATGTTGTATATTATGTATTAATAAAGTAGATTTTCCCTTGTGTTGTCTTACAGTTTTATGGTTTTAGGTCTTACACTTAAGACTTTTATCAAATTTGAGTTAAACTTTGTGAGTATGTATGATAGGGACTTTCTTGTATATGTGAATATCCTATTTCCTTTGTATCATTTATCAAAGATAATGTTCTTTCTCCATTGAGTACCTTGGCTCCTTTGTCAAAAATCTGTATGTATAGGTTTATTTCTGAACTCTCCATTCTGTTTTATTGGTCTCTGTTTTTATATCTATACCAAATTCTTTTGATTACTGTAACTTTGCAATCAGTGTGAAGTCAGAAAAATGTCCTGTCTCTGGCTTAGTTTTTCTTTCTCAGAATTACTGTGGCTACTTAGGGCCTTTCATATTTCTATACAAATTTTAAGATTGAGTTTTCTATTTCTTTAGAAATACCATTGGAATCTTGACAGGCATTGAAATGTGTTTTTAGGTGGTTTTTTAAAATATGGCTGTTTTAGCAATATTGATTTTCCATTTTATAAACATGAGATATCTTTATATATATTTATATCTTCTATATAAATATATTTATATTTTCATGTATTTATATCTTCTTCAATGTCTTTCAGTATGACTTTTATTTTTATTGTACAGATCTTTCACCTCCTTGTGTTTCACAGTTTGGATGCTATTGAAATTTTTTTTTAAGATAATTTTTGTTAGTGTACAAGGACTTTTTCTTTTAAGATTGATTTCTTTATGCATACAGAGCTGGGGTACAGGCCAGAGGTGCCGGGTGGTGAGAGGATTCACCACAGACAGAGTGGGGAGCAGAACAGGCAGACTGATTAAGTACACTGCTGAGGGGAGCAGCGGGCAAGTCATGTGAATATCTCATTTTCCCAGCAAGATTTATTGAAGGGAATGTTGTTTCCTCATTGACTATCTTGTCTTCCTTGTCAAAGAGTTGACTGTATATGTAGGTTTGTTTCTGGGCTCTCCATCTGTTTCATAGGCCTATATCGCTGTTTTTTTTATACCAGTACCATATTCCTTGGATTACTTTAACTTTGATCTAATGTGAAATCAGGAAGTGTGATGTCTCTAGCATAGTTCTTTCTTAGGATTTCTTTGGTTACTTGGGTGGGGTCTTTTGTGATTCTATAGATTTTAACATTTTTTTCCCCCTACTTCTTTAAGAAATGCCATTAAAATCTTGATAAGTATTGCATTGAATCAACAGATGACTCTTGGTTGTGTGACCATTTTAGTAATCTTAATTCTTGCATTTAATAAACAGGGAATGTCTTTCCATTATTTAAATCTAAACTTCTCTCAACAATGATTGCATATTTTTCTTTGTATAGAACCTTTCCCTTCTTGGTTAAATTTTTCCCATGTGCTTTATTATTTGTGATGTTATTGAATCTAAGTTTGTTTTATTTAAAATAAGAACTCATCCAGAAATTATGACCATCACAAAAAAATAATAATGGGAATGACAATGATTAAAGAGATATAGCCATTAAAGAATAAAGCAAATGAATATTTGAAAAAAATAAGAAATCAAAATTAATGGCAACTATAAATAAGAGACATTCTGCAGGGAAGGAGGAGGGAGAGGGATCAAAACAGGGGAAGGAAGAGACAAGAGACTATGGTAATAGTACTTGGGTGACTTGATGGTGGGAATTTTACATGGACTACACCTGAGAGAAAAAAGAAAATACTGTACAAAAATTAACAATGATATAAAATACATGTAAATAAATACAATTTTAAAAAAATTTTAATAGTTCCATACAGTTCTTTTTAAGATAATTTTTTTGAGAGTGTGCAAAACACTAGTTTTTTTTATTATTACAAAAGTTTATTTTTACATCATTTTGTACATTTTTTTTTCCATCTTGATTGTAATCCCCACGGGGTTCCCATCAACAAGTCACCCGTGTGCCATCACCATAATCCCGTGCATTTCCCTCCCCCCACCCCGTTTTTGATCCCATTCCCCACTCCACCCCCACAA